GATCAACCCAGCATCGACTCGCGTCGAGCATCACTAACCACTCGGTAAGAGATACCATAAGAAGTGACTGTGGTCATAGAAAGTAAATATAAGAAAAATAAAGAGGATGTAAAAAAACAAAGTATAGGAAGCACTTGAATATGGACAGCGCGACAACTATATGAAAGGGTATGCTTGAATATTAAATAGGAAAGAAGTCCGAGAGCGATGTGTTGTGGAACTGAAACAAATAACATTTTTCAATAAATCGCAGATGTTAAGATTTACGACTTGCAGACTGGAATCACAGATTTTCTTGCTTGTAAAAATTGGATACGATCATGACCATTAGTGGGCTTGGCATCATAAAACCCCTCATACCCATTTTGCTTCTAGATACTCTGTATTTCAGATCTCACACATAACTTGCATCTTTTTGGCAATACGTGAATCTTTTTCAATCTCATCAAGTTCCTGCAGGATACGTTGCCTTCATCAAACAGTTGGGGATAATCGTTCCACTCATTTCCTCCTTATTTGAATCATGCTCAATGACGGCGAATATAACAACAAGTGGTCAACATGAGCGGCTTTCGTTGAAAATAACTTTATTTGTGATAGTAAAATCATAGTAGTGAATGTCTATAGGAGCTGCATAAATCAATATTCTTGTGCCCTCCGTGTGTCCCTTTTGTACTTTTTTGATTTTTTTTTGTGGAACGCCCCTCCCAAAGGCTGATGCACGGATACAACAGCGTCCCGAAGTTCAAAGTTTTGCATGTTACTCAAAACTATAGGATATTACATACCTAATGGTTTGACATTACTACAAATCCCTGCTCAGCAAAACTCACTAGGTGTACAAGAAATATAGACTAATTTTGGTATACATAATTATTCAGTCGCGCGTTCCTTCAAGACAGTTCAAAATGTCCTAAGCACAAGAAGGGAAACGAGATCGCTATGAATATCAGTGAGTTTGATAAAGGGATATGATTCTTTGAGCCTTCACAATTTTATTCATTTTCCAGCGTCTTTGTTATTTTTTGGCTATTAATAAACTACACCAAGTGATTTTGTCCAGAGGTGTGACGCCGTTGTCCATCATTGACTAGTGTGTTAACCGATGATCCGAATGGCGTCACAATTCTGCTTTTTTATCCTTATCAATTCTCAGTCTTCTAATGCGTTGGATATCCAGTCTGCAAGTCATATTGTAAACAGGGTAAAGAATGAAGCTCTCGGCTTTGATCAGTCCCTGAGGGATGCGCCATGCATTCGTTTTCAATTTTGAACTTCGTTTGAAGTGATTGAATGCATATGTGGCCTTTACAGTGACTCGCCGTGGCCTCCCGCTGTATCGATTCAATGCTGCTTATCCTCCCAAACAAGTCTGCGACTAGTCTGATATCAATTTACCAACCCCGGAGAGACGAATGGCTTGATGTGCCATGAGTGCGAAATCGACACACATATGACCTTGTGTGGCGACGCAAAGCACCTCTAACCACTGCGCCACATGCGCTCCTTAGTTATATGTTATACACGTAAAATGATTGGACTTTGTAACAGGTATGCTGTTCAGTCGGTTTTAATCGCTAAGGAATTTATACACTAGGCATTTTATAATGTGATTGATATAGTGCTACAAAAATGCAGGATACGCGCAAAACTTCGGAAGGGTAGTGGCTGCTTTCCTCGACTTTTCCGGAAGCTCACATTGCGCTCTGAAAGTAGGACGAGAATTGTGGTGGTCCAGTGTCTAATATGTGAGCTCGTTTGAAAGGTAACTGCAAGTTCGAAGCCACTTTAGGTTTCAAACTTGCTCATATCTCAGCACTTTTGTCATTGCTCCTTGTATGATCTAGTATATATATATACCAGAAGGTTGTCATGCAAGTTTCATTCGGCTAGAACTTCGACGCATTTCGTCTTTTCTAAAGACGATTATTCGATTCGATTTCCCACACTCGTCCGTTCTCGTTGTGGTTTCGCATCCTTTGTCGTTCTTAATCACAACGAGGCCGAAATACTGTAGGCAATCCACTTGAATCATTGACTTTGAAGAAGACTATCGAAGCGCTAGCCGAGTAAAATCCCGTCTTATGTACTAAACATAGAAAAAACTATTATTGATTGTCATACCGAGGTTCAAAGAAAGTTGGTTTTCAAAGTGTCCTGTGATTGCTTTTACACTGCAACCGTACTATGAGAAAGAATAACAGGAAAATAAATGTTTAAAAAATTCATGATAGACTTGTTTATCGAAGTGTCGCACAGTTTAACAGTGCCCCTACAATAAAAAATACGTCGTTCAAGACTTAGCGCTCTCATCACACTTATCGTCGGTCAATGATGAAATTGTGAATTTTATGACAACACAACGTCATTAGCGATGATTCAAAAAAGATTTTCGGAAGCGAGTATCGATTAACCTCGACATTGAGAAGTTGTTAATAACACAATCTATGCGATACAATGCAATATGAGCGGCCACTGTTTCGGTGACTTCTCCTTCTTCAGAACCTGGGAGAATCAAATTAATATCAGATCTACTCAGGCAAACAATTTCATTACTGAAACAGGTTGAATTACTGAGTTTGTCATAGCATACCGTGACTTAAAAGGGGACCTACATTCAACGACATTTGTAACGATCTACACAATACTTGTCATGACGTTCAATCAAACTCAAGCAACTGAACATAATATTTTTGCTAAAGACTTAAGCTTTTCTGGACGATGTAGAAGAGAGTATTAGGCAAAAATTTCCTGGTGTACAATATCCAAACAACACAGCTCACAGAAATTACTAATTACAACAAGGCGTACATGGATTTCATGCGTGCAGTAGGTTGCAGGTTACGTTGGAGCAGCATTGCTTATATCATTTATAACTCATAACTCGTACACTCATATGTCCCCATCTAGTCATTTTGCACGAAATCCTATCACAGCACTTGACTGCTCTTCGTTTCCAATGTCCGTGTCAAAGACAGTCGGCATCATTGACCATTACTCACTAACTTGAAGTGCTCACATGAGTGGTTTGAACGCGTTTCAAAAGTTAAAAGAAGCAAAGCAAAAGTTTTTCTACAACTTCATTGGACTTCAATGCCAGATAAGGGATGGCTATTAAAAATAAATACAGGGCAGGGAAAGTGTGAAAACACGAGTACGGAGACCATCTGGTAGGTTTCCAATTCCATACGTGTTTTTTTTGCGGAAACTCTTATCCTGTAAAAACAGAAATTCATTGATGGACATGGGAATATCCCAACGGAACGATTTATGCGGAGATCGATCATTTGCATCACCTGTATCACCTGTCGTCCCGTTGATCGTCGAGTGACTCGAGCGGCTACCAGCAACTCTCCCATTTTTCCCTATCGCGTGCAAGAGTAGCCCAGTGGGTTCTTCTCGCTCTAGGGATTCGCTGAGCATCATATCTTTCTTCCATCGCTTTCGTGAAGAAATAGGACCAACGGGTCAGTGGTCTTCCTTTAGAGCGCTTGATGATGATCATTTGCATACGTACAGAAAATGGCGCCTTTTCGACAACTCAGTGCTACCTGGATTCTGTACGGGACCTGATCATCGCCTTTTACGTGAGAAGATTCTATTCCCTCCTATGACTAGCAGATAAAGTAGGACTCAATTGAAGAGTACGAGTTGCTCGTCGGTGAATTTAAGGCCTGTGCCAAACTAACATCAGTTTCTAAAACAAAATATTCAGATCGCATCTCCACTACAACCAAGAATTTGCTGAAAAAGAGATAGGAAATGAGGCTTGACCCTACTACAACCTATCCGAAAAGGATGATAATGAATTCCATGTGCGAAAAATTTTTGCAGACGAATTTATATCGGTAGATGCAGAATAAGTTATTAGAAGCACCACAACCAAGATTCAGTCTGAACATTGCCGTCGGAATCCGTGTATTTTTATGAACCGATGTCCGCCCTAATGCATGAATAAGGTTCATGGCGACACCCGCCACAATATGGAATTGATAATGGAAATGTTTTCAACCGATCTTTTCCGTTCCACAACCACCGTTGCGTACCCCAAAATTCCCACCCACTGATGAAAAAAGCACTCAGGATTCTGGCATCTGAAGTTTGAGTTGTGATACAAAGTATGAAGAGAGGAACGGCTCCAAGAGCAGATAGCATCCTTATTGATTTCTTTGGAGCTGGTGGCCACAATGTACACACCTTCACGCAAGATACATGACATCATGCCTGCAGAAATGTCCCAGGGCGATGGAGGACTTCGCACGCAATCATCCAGCCTAAGGCTGACGGAAGAGCCTTTTGCACTATCGCCCATTATGTCTGTTAAGTGTATACTACAATCTTTTCACGAAGACCATACTTCTGTGTATATCGGAGATCCTAGGTGAGGCACAGGGAGTCAATCAGGAGCGATTACTTTACGACTTACCCACACCGTGTCGATGGTCATAGAAGACTGTCGGTAATGCCACCTGACCTGAGTACTGACTTTTGCTTACGATGAAAAAATGTATGATATCATTGGAACGGACGAAATTCAATCAGCACTCTTCAACTAAAGAGTGGATCCGTTGTTTATGAGATCTCTATCATATTGTTAGCGTAACAGCACTGCGAAGCGCAGTTTTTCATTCGCCTCTGTCACAGCCATCGCAAAAAGTATTCGACAAGGCGCTTCTCGATATCGCCATAGCTGTTCACCGTCGCACCGCAGTGAAAAGAAGGCTCTCGACTGGGACAAGAGGAGCATACGCAATGAAAGAAAGATATTATCAAACATTTGTTTTGTGGGTGATATCGTCATCTTTTAGAAAGCTTTTGTGAAGCAGCGACTATACCAGTGAATTCAGCGAAGCGAGGAAAAAAATCAGACCAGTCCTTGCAGCATATTTTGAGTCTTTCACGAGGTCTTTTATGGCAATCAGAAATCGTTTCATTTGATCGCCAATTGTGGTGCTATGATGTATAATAAATCCAATGATGTAGAGTGGCGTATAAAAGTTTGCGTCAGTTGGAGCTCGAACCCACACTTCACTCTTTCCGGGAGCACGTGCTGAACCTTTGCACTACCGACGCTCGTTTTGCACACCTCTCTTTCTACGTTGCAACTCGTCTCTTATGGAAGTTATGAAGTACTAGATACGTGTTCCGACCTTTCAGGCTCATCAGTACATGCTGTCAGGGCCTACCATTTCTAAGCAAAGTGTTAATATGCTTAAATACGCTGTCAAGAAATACTGATGTAAGTGGGGTCCGAAAATACAATCGAATATCAGGGTATTATGAATTTTACCAGCCATAAGCAATCGGCTGTTAATCATTGCAACGTCGGGTGATTTTTACATATCACACATACAGTGTTATTGTTCGTCCTTTATTCTTTGGTATATAGGGGGATATTTCAGTACAAGAGATTGGTTCTCACGAAAAGCACCGCGCTAGTGATAAGGCTACTTACTGATGAGGAAAGGACGAAACACATGTCTGTACCATAACAGGCGTCTTGAAAGGCTTAAAATATGCTGTCAGAATGTATTAATTCTAAGCGAGGTCTCCAAAAACAGTCGATTATAGAGAATAGTTTGCTCATAAACTGGATGAAGACTCTGTTCATGAAATATTACAAAGCGCGAAAATCGAACTGGATGGTTACTTGATTACGAGTTCCACCTTGAACGCGACCTTGGACGTTCAGTGGGCATGGAGAACAGTATGATGGAAGAAGTGAAGAGAAGATAGAAAGCAGCATGAATCGCATTCAAGCCTTTTGAATGAGTAATCTTTTTCGTTGTACAGAATATGATTTCTGTAATTGTACATCTCTGTTACTGTATAGAATATGAGGTTCCTAATCGTGACTAATCTAACATCTGCCATTAACACATTTCTATTCTTACCAAAACATCTGCATATGTTAACACCCACATGTACATCCAATGGCATATGATTCAGATTGACTAAAACAAAATAGTACGCTGTTAGACACAATTTTTAGTCAGCAGGCTTCCATTAATACTTTCCTTTCAATCCAAGCAGACATTAGTCAGATTTCTGTAGGTAAAATAGTGTACTACCAGACATTGTCAACCCGTATGAAAGCCAGCAATACCACGGCAGCAGAATCCTTTCAACGGCGATGCGCCATTTTTCGTTCCTATAATCTGCTTCTTTCTCGGTACTTTTATTGAAGAAATTTACATGAAAGGATTGTGTTCTACGTTCAGGCACAACTACTCAGAGTCAATCCCACTCACTACCGATCCAGTAACGACTCCAAACTGTGTGCTCACCTGTCAAATCAGCAGTCCTAGAGTTTTGTTATGCAGCAGAGACGTGGGATGATACTGTGGTCACGTCATATCAGGGGGGAAACTCACAGAGCGCTTGAAAATTCTTCTGAAATATAAAAGACATTCACAGCGCTCTACCTCTTTACCGGCTGATATTTTAAAACTTATCACATTTTGGGAATCCTTAAATTATGCACTGATAGCGAATCACACATGAGTCGATCACATAGCAAGAAGAACAGATAGCAAATGGATAAAATGAGCAGGAGAGTCGGGACCAAAAGAATGCATGAGTGCTTTTGGACGATCATCTAAGAGATGGGCGTGTTTGTAGTTAACGTCAACCATCCGCATTTACAGTTCAGGACAGCGGAATAGGCCTCACGTAGCTAGTCACGTAGTAGAAGCAGACCACCACCACCATGGACGACAATTGTGCAGGCCATTCGAGCATCCAATAAAGAATTCAAATAACTTCACTAGAACAAGAACTAGTAAAGGTTCAAGTATGTCATGCCAGTTGTCGCGTAGACTATCACTATAGGAACATCTGGGCGATGAAAATTCAAATGGAAGGTGTTGAGAGTCCACACTACTAATGAAAGAGATATCTAACTAAGTAAAGACGAGCAAATAAGTAGAGTCCGAAAAAAACAGGTTCATGGTTATCACAATGCTTTCACCAGAAATAAAAAAATGACTACCATTTAATGCTTTCACAAAGATTCTCGACATCTTTATCAACTGATTGGCATCAATTCCGGGCTGATTTAGAACAGATTTTGTGAGACGAGATGTTTTGCGATGAGACACAAGGTAATCATCAAATCATCACAATTGGCTGGCCGAATCGGCAGTGTCAATCCGACATTATGAGTGTGCTGTAATAAAATTACCAGAAAAAGTTTCATATTCTTTTTTTCTGATAGGAAATTGCTTTCATACTGTATTTGACGTAACAACTATAGGTCTGCATCGTTCTCTCTATTTGTTCTGTCGATTGATGTGTGGAATTAGATCAGATTTAAGAAGCTTTAGAATTGACACAGTTCGGCATATCGGGACATGTAAAAATAGGCCAAAAACACTGTCCACAACTACAGCTCACATAATGTTCTCCATATTATGTAATGTCGGAGTTTTTTCGACTCAAATACTACCATCCAACTCAAGGTAAAATCCTACGTATATTTATATCAATCGGATAGCAAAACGCGCGATCAAACAATCACTAGCCCCGGCATAGTCGACTGTTTTTAAGATCTCGCTCAAAATTAATATATCCTGACAACATATTATAAGCCTTTCATGAGGTCTGCTATGAGCACTTTTACAGTACAATGCCCGCAAGGTTGAAACACGTGTATTGCCTTGCATAAGTACCCATAAAAGATCTCATTGAATGCTCAAATTATGTTGTCATGTTGTATTAATCACTAATTCGTTATTGTGCTGTGCACTTCTGATATGTTGAAAAAGAACATAGTTCGGACATGCTTATTTATGTTGATTGGCATTCATACAGTGCTATCCTTTCAAGGACAAAATTACCAGTATAAGGTAAAAGAGTAATGTTAAGTATCAATTATGCGGCATACCAAAATTTGAGCGTGGTCTTAATAAAAACAAGAGGCATCTGTAATAAAAGAGGTATCACCTGTGTCACCTGTCGTCCCGTTGATTGTTGAGTGACTCAGGTGGGTACCACCAACATTACCATTTTTCCCTATCGCGCGCAAGAAATAGCCCAGTGAGTCCTTCTCGCTCTAGGGATTTGCTGAGCATCATATCTTTCTTCTATGCCTATCGTAAAGAAATCGGACCATCGGGTCGGTGGTCTTTCTGAAGAGCGCTTGATGTTGCGAGGAATCCAATCGGTAGCGGCTCTCGTCCAGCGCTTGCCGTTGAAGCGCATCACGTGTCCAGTTCACGTTATTTTTGATACCCTGGAGTGTAAAACAGCGTCTTTGACCTTCAATCGTTGGCGTAGGTCGGAATTTTGAATCTTCTCTCTTATTAGCGAGATACAGGATACTCTTAGCATTAACCTTTTGACGGCGCGTTTAATAACGCAAAGTGATCCATCCTGCCCACGCCAGCGACCAGGTTTCTGCTGCATACTTAGGGCAGGGATAATTGCAAAAGGTATAATATGACAAAAATACCAGCTAAGGGCAATCGAGTGTCAAGCCGTTCTTGTGATTTTTCACTGAACGGCGATTGTGTAAATCGTTCGCCGTCGCCTACCTCTCATAGGGGATAGTAGGAGCTCCCGAAAGGACTGGCTAAAGACGAAAGGCCTGCCCGACTGACAAAACTGCAAGGTTGAAATACGTGTCAAGCTGTACGAGAGCCATCAACAGGCCCACATGACATGTTAGCTTAAATGATATTTATGAGATATATGGAATTTTGAGCATGATCTTAATAAATACTTGAAATAAAAGATATATAAAAGAATAATGTTCTGGAGTTAGTCGACAACTGTAGGATTTATGCATTTTTGTCGAGTTAGAATTGATTCAATGCATATCTGGTCAACTCGAGATGTATCAAATCGGTGTCGTATTCTACCAGGCAATTCTGGTTGCATTTTGCTAGGTCTAAAGTGGTTCTAGAGCAGGAGAACTCTCGATAATCACGAGTCGTCGGATCGTACCAACCATCACTTGTGGATTACAATGCACCTCCAACATCTGAGCTACACTTTCTAAAAAATAGAGGAAAGAACAGGTTACCGATCATATTGTCTACTGGTCACCGATCACGGCAAAAGTAGGGTTAGTGATAATAATAATGCCATAGTTCCACAAGTCATTAAGTGATTCGATCCGAAGCCAGTAAGGTCTTACGCTTCCAGCAAACACTGGGGCTTCCCACTGAGCTTCCGTCACTCAACCAGGAGGAGATCGTTAGCATTTCGGTATAACATTATTTTTTCTTCCGATTATGGATAAGTAGTCCCTATTTGATCCGTTTTACTATTCTACACTACAATACTTTTATTCGGTTGTTTTATGAGTGATGCCAAATTTTCAGATACTGGATGACTTGGAATCAGAAGGATGACACCAGGTGTTCAGGTGTACAACAAAATTTTAGATTAGAAAACACATAATGACACTTCCAGTGGAGGTGGGACCTAAATATTAATAATAATCGTAACAATGATAAGAACTGGCGGCGTTGACTATTGATCGTCACTGATTGAATTCTATGCCATTGTCAGTTTCGATGTTCGCTAAAATTCAAATGTTACCAACAAGACTTATTCGAAATACTTTTCCACACCTATTATTTATCAAACTAACGTTGGAGGCCGATAACTGACAAGTGCTAAGAAAATTACCGACAATTTTTTGCATAACAGTTCCTTAATGGCCCACCAACTACAGTATCTCTTCGCTGTATCCACATCTATTGGGCTATTTTTTTGAGATGATACCCAGTTAGAAGCAAATTTCCCACATATTTTTTTTTTACCAAAAAACAACTCGTTTCATTTTCATGGTTTTTTATATCTATTTGCATTCATTCTCAATATTTTTTCTACTCTCAGTACTGAAAAAATCTTGATAGGACATTAAGACATCACCTTCTTCTAAATTTCTGTGGTCATCTAAAAAGATAAAGACCTAATAGCTTTCATAACTCCTATTGCTCTGAGATAATGCACTGGTTTCTTGTGAACAAAGACATGGTTGTTACAACAATTTTGATTCAAAAGAGCTGACGTCTTGGCGGTTTCGCCTTCATCGGCCCTGAAAATTCCAATTGACATGCAAT